TATATAAAGTATATAAATTATTTATATAATTTAATTATTATATATAAATTATATAAAACATTTAAAATTTTATATATTATATATAAGAATTAAATAATCGGTCGAATTTAGATATTTATCCAATCGAATCAGGCCATATCCGAATTCAAATCCGATTAACTATTTGGTATGAATAGGATATCCGAGTTCGACCGATTAAATATTCAAATTATCCGAATTCGATTCGATTATATCAAATCTCAAATTCGAAATCACGTTGGCACCGATTAAATATTTTACATTCTCTTTTAGTGCTTATTTGGAGAAAAACTGATGAGAGTAGAATTTATCATATTTTTATCCCCAATTATTCTGTCTTTTATACTGAATTAGCACCTAATTGGACTCATATTTCTGTTCAGAGCATGAAACAAAGCATCAGGAGCAAAGAAAGACAAATCAGATGATTTTTCATAGTTTTGGCACCGTTCAGTAATCTGAGCTTAACTCACGTATCCGACCTCCGATTGGGCTAATTCAAGACCCACTGGAAAGACAAGAGAAAAAGCCACAACTTTTATGTTTTAGGCTTTCACAGATTCGGTCTGCATCAAAGTCAAATTCGGACCCAAAGTCGCGAAAAATTCATAGGAAGGCCCAATCCGCAGCTGAAGCCCAACTTGCAGAAAAGCCTGGCTGAAGCCCAACTGGCAGAAAAGCCTGGCTGAAGCCCAATTCGCAGAGGAGGTCTAATACGAATCCAAGAACAAGAAACTGAAAAAAGTCCTTCCAGATCTAAATTCTTGATGTAATCTTAGAGAGATAAAATGATTGAGTTCATTAGATAAAGAGATAAGATTAGAATTAGGATAGGACTTTCTATTCTTGTAAAGATCAACTTCAAGAGAAAGTAGGAAACCACCCCCTCCCCTTTAAGCTATATAAAGGAGGGGCGGATCATCTTTAGGCATCACTCAATCACTCGCTTCTTGATTTGAATCAAGAAGGAAAGAAGCAATCAGCCAAGAATTTCCAAGAATTCAAGGAACGTGGAGGAGGAGATCAATAATTCAAGAATCCCCAAGAACAAGGTGGCAGCAAGAAGAGGAGATCTCAGCACCATGGGCGAATTCAAGAGTTCTTCCATCATGAACTGATTTGTTTCTTGCTAGGACTATGGAAAGCTTAACCATGTTAATGAATATATTTTTATCTTCTTGATTTTTCCAAGATTGTGATTTCCATATAGTCTATGAATTATTTGCTTAATGCAATTAGGAGTGGCCATCTCTTAATTGATTCGGTGTATATGAATGAATCAGGAGAGGAATTTATATACTCGACCACATAATTCATGGTGTGAATTGAATGGTATATAGGGATATATACACATGATTCATCTGAATATTTGAGTTTTTCTTGCACTTAATGCATTTCTATTATTGAGAACTCTAGTCGAGGGATCGAGGGGTTACTTGATAGAAATATGTTTAATATATCTTAGGAAAGAATATTAAATAAAATTGGAAAAAACTTCAGCTTATGGGAATRACARTTAATCTTGGTTAATCGAACCCATCGATATTTATTACATTAGTTAGGTGGACCAAAGGTCCTAGCGATTTCATCATTTGCATATTCGATTAGTGATCACCCTTGCTTTTATTTTCTTTGCTCCAGTTTTATTATCAGTAGTTCTTGCTCAATTCCAAATTTTGATTGTCCAAATAATTAGGGAAAACTGTGGTTCTAATACTTATTTTGTTAAATCCCCGTGGGAACGATATTATTATACTACTTGATAACTAGTGCACTTGCTAGAATTATATATTTATAGCTATCAAGTTTTTGGCGCCGTTGCCGGGGATTTAATCCTAAAAKAATATTAGAATTTGTTAACCTTGATTAATTTGGACCTTTTATTTCAGTTTTTATTTTCTTTTTATTTCTGTTATTATTTTTATTTTTGTTTATTTGTTCGAATTCTTGCTGGTTCAGATTTATTAGTGCATGACACACACTAGAAGAAAAGGACTAGCAAGATTCGATCCTAAAATAGAAAGAACCCTTCTTTATTTAAAGAGATGCTTAGGGAGTATCCTCACCATGGAATATCAGTTTGGTATCAAAATCAGACCTTTTATAATGTTATTACCCCCCCTAATCAATCTATTATTGATGCAGCCGTAGGTGGCACTATCATGAGAAGAACACCAGAGGAAGCCTATGACCTAATAGAGGAGATGGTGTCAAACAGCTACCAATGGAGCAATGATCGAACCAATCAGAGGGGAGTACACCACATTGATTCCTTTGCATCCCTATCTGCACAAATTGCCAACCTATATAAGAGACTGGATAATTTTAGTATTGCAACCATGAATACACCATCTAGCATCTCATGCGATTTATGTGGTCAAATAGGACATACTAATTCTGATTGTCAATTAAATAGTCATTTTATTTCTCATTAATTTTTTATGTATTTGTACTATACATATTTACATTTGTACTCTTTCCAAACTAAGCCTTAGCAAAATTTCATTTTTTTTTCTTCTAAAGGTTTAAAAGCATTAACTCTTATGACACTTTGAAGAACTAAATGTAAGCACCTAGTTCTAGTTCTAGTAGGTCTTCATGACACTTCTCTCTTTTAATTTCTACTGCAAGTAGGTTCTTCGTTTTACTTGACAAATAATTGGTTGCATTGCAATGATGGCTTACAAATTATAGAATTATGTTTTTTTTACAGAATAATAACTACAAATTGACAAGGTTTTTTTAGTTAATGTTGCAATTTGTTTGTATTATGAATTGTTTGAGTGGTGAATTCATAAAAGCAGTTCATGGAATTCTAATTTTTTTCTTGTTATATTTTTATAGGTTGAACGGAAGAAGCAACTTTAGATGCTTAGATGGAGACATATTGGATCAGATTTTCAAATGTTAATTGTAGTTTAATCTCTTCAAGCAGATTGAATTTATAATGTATTTTGAACCTATGGATGTGTGCAAATTGTACTTGAGATGTAACTCTTTTACTTTTTATTATTAGAAATTTGCATGCAAGTTTTATGTAATATATGAATGGACATGTTTCTACTATATATAATAAATGATTTAGGCTTTTGTATTTAAAATTTTGAACAAATATATAATATTTCTTGAAAGCATAAATCTATAGTAGCAATCATAATTGCCACTATAGGTCTCAAAAAAATACCACCATAAGTTTGCAACAATGGTTGGGATATAGTTATAGCAACAGTTTTATGATCTATACCGCCACTATATCCTAGATTTTGCTACAAATGCCTTCAAAATCCATAGCTAAAGGTTAATATGGCTATAACATTTAGCTACGAATACTACAGAAACCGTAGCTCAAGGTATTTTTTTGCTTTACTTCTATTGTGGTATAGCTACGAACACCTTCAAAATCCATAGCTAAAGGTTATCATTTTATAGAACATCTAGTCATGGACAACATAGAAACCGTAGCTATAGGTGGTTTTAGCTACAATTTTTTTCCATAGCTATAGGTGTTAATAATTGTGATCTTGGATTTTAGCTATGGACAATAACCGTAGCTAAAGGAAAGTTTTAGCTAAGGACCTTACCATCTGTAGTTAAAACCTATAGCCACGCGAACATCATCTACAGTTTTCTATCCTAAGCAAGACTGTAGCTATAGACCTATAGCTACGGTTTCTTAGACATGTAGCTACAAATAATTGGAATGAATCCAATCTGCAAAATTTTCTCAGCAACCAAATACTAGGAAGCAGAGATTTGGTAGGATAATTGGTCTCAACAACTAAATATACGTGATAGAACCATCTCATCACATCCAATCCCATCTCATCTCATCCTTTCTCAGCAACCAAATGAACCATTAGGCTTTTATATAAGGCTGTAATCAAATCTGACTCAGATTGGATTTGGATTTAATCCAACTCCATTTTAATTTTTTAAACTACTAGAAAATTAAAAATTTAATTACTTTTCAATTTTTATATATAATGAATTAATGTAAATATAACATACTTAATTTATTATATACATAAATTCATATATAATATAACATATAGAATATATTTTCACAATTTAAATATAATTATATAAAATTTATATATTAAATCAATAAATATTATAGTATAATTAGATTTAGATGGGCCAATAAACAGCCAAATGGCCTTTTGGGACATCTGTGGCTGCTGCTGATGAAGTTTATTGATTTGTGGTATGAAAAGAACGTCGAAGAATAAGAGGTTTAGTGGCATGAAAAAAAAACATATCAAAGAACAAGGATTGATAGAGAAGGAAGAGAATTCTGTGAAATTGTGAGTGAAGACTTAAAACAGAGGAGGGACATGGCTCATGGCGTTATGGTTTCACATGGCTTTGCTGTCCCAGTCAATTATCAGAAACTGTAGACTGGTTGTCGTCCTGTGGCATTCTTTCTTAGGGCCCAGACTAGCTATTTGTCGATCAAACTTCAAAGGCAAGGTTTTCTGTGTACGACTATTAGATCTTTCTATAATCTATCACTCGGGATTTCTTACTCACTTTTCCTATCCACTCTCTACCTGCTGTGAATTAGAGCCACACATCTCTATTATGAATTGAGGATTTGTGGTTGCAATTCACAGCAGATAGAGAGTGAGTAGGAAATCTGGCATATGGTCCCCTTTTTCAGTTTTGAGGTGCAATTTAGTTATCATGAAGGAAGCAACTCATGTGAAGGGATTGGAGTAAATGAAACACAAACAAGTTTTTTGGCCTCCGCCTTTCTATTGTGTGTCAAAAACTGTGGGTGTTTTGCTTCCAACTTATAATGATAAATCCGCAATAAACCAGGAAAGCACTATTTTCATTGGGGTGCCACGGATTTTAAATGGAAAGGATTGGTGATATACAATTAGTTGTCCACTCTTCATGGCTGCTCATGTGGGTTCAATGGGGCATGTACTAAAGGCAGAGTGTCCCACAGAAGGCCTAATATGAAAAAATGTGGGCTCTCCTGCTAGCCACTCTTTTGAGAATGGCCTTCAGACCACACCATTTCCTTGGTCGTCTACCCCTCTCTCTCTCTATATATATTCGTGTACACATGCTAAGGGAAAGTGCAACTTTCTTTTCCAACTTCCAATAGATCTATTAGTGTTGATGCTCTCTGTGTTTTCTAATACCAACTTCCGAGATCAATATCTTCTGAATCCTTCTTTTGCCAAGTAACCTTGAAAACCATGGGTTTCCGCTTACCTGGTTTGCTTCACACAAAGGAGATTCTCCGCCGCTCTCTTTCAGGAGGGAGGAACCAATCGCTTTGGTCAACAACAGCCAATGTTCCCAAGGGTCATTTGGCAGTTTATGTAGGAGAAGCAGAAAAGAGGAGGTTTGTTATTCCAGTATCCTACTTGAATCATCCTTCATTCCAAGAATTGTTAGGTCAGGCCGAGGAAGAGTTTGGGTTTGATCA